TCCACAGGGCGACAATGATAAAGGATCTACAATGTGAGGTACAGGATCTCAGGATAAATCCTGAAGGGATTTCACTGACCTTATCAGATCCAAAAGCTACAACTCTTGTTGCGTAGGTCTTACTTTATCTTGGTCTTAACCATCCAGCAGAAAAGTATAAAAACAAAGTATAAGAAATAAAGCCATGGTGTCATGTTGAGCTGTAGGGGACTCAGGTCAACAATTTCTGACACTGCCAGTCAAGCAGAAGACCCAATATTATTATGGACTACCTGACTCTTTTAGAATATTTTGCTGAGTTAACACACCTATAATATTCAAATGATGGAACTAAACAAAAAAGGGGATACAGATGAATGTCCATTTTGTATCTGTGTATTCAAAATGATTAGGATAGATATATAGTTATGGGCTGGGGAGATGGCTCAGTAGAATAAGCACTTCCCTGGCAAGCGCAATGGCCTGAGTTCAATCCCCAGTTCCGAAAACAAAAAACCAAAAAGAGATATATAGTTACATTCTCTTAATAAAGGGATCTGTTCTAATGGTGTTTGTAAATAGGATATCATGTTTGCATCTTGTATAGCAAATAGCCACTAGGAAGAGAATATGCAATGTGTTAATTATTGAAACTGTCCTACCAATTTGATTTGAAACTGTCTCATTGCTCTTTGTTTCTCAATAAAATTGTGGGGAAAAAAAATAATGAATATCCACAAAGTTAATAGATTCTATGTCTAAATTCTTTAGTCCCAACCAATGATGCCTGGGATTAACAACATTATTTCCTAAGAAGTGGTACAAAGGGAAGAGAAGCAGAAAGAAGCTTTACTATCAATCCCATCGTATATATATACTATGTACTACATGAAGGAAGAAAAGACAGTGGACAAGTAGCACCTCCGGGTAGTTGAGTTTATCTTCAGTACTTTTTTTGGGGGGGACCAGGAATCAAACTTAGGACCTTGCACTTGCCAAGCAGGCGCTGTACTGTTGAGCTATTCCCAGCCCATTCATTAAATTTTTTTTCATTCTCTACTAAGAAATATGCATCAAGTTTTTGATGCACATCTTTTGTTTTGTTTTTGAGACAAGGTCTTTACATAGGCTGCTCTCAAACCTGTGATACTCCCCACCTCGGCCTCCCAAGTGTTGAAACTATAAATGTGAACCACAGAGCCCAGAAGGAATATGCATCAATATGCATCAATATCACAAAAGAAAGAAAGAAAGAACCAACCAACCAACCTCCAGCCACTAGGGAGCCTGAGACAAGAGAGTCACAAATTTAAGGTCAGTACAGGCAACTTAGCAAGACATGTCTGAAAATGGAAACGAAAAAGGGCTCAGAACTCCCAGGCTTGATCCCCAGCGCTGGGGGAGGGCGAGGAGGCAAAAACTACATCCTCCCTCCTCAAAAATTCTTTTTTTTTTTTTTTTTTGCAGAACCGCGGATTGAACTCAGACCCTTCGCTCACCAGGCAGGTGCTTATTCTACTGAGCCATCTCCCCAGTCCCCTCAAAAATATTTTTCATAGGTGCTGGCCAATCTCCTGAGGACCACTAGCTACCCTGAGCCTGCCTGTCACTAGGAAAGTAACAGCAACACAAACTACACTGTCCAAGGTCGTAGCAAAGGGAACTGAGAGGGAAGCAACAACAATCATGCAAAGCCAAATGCTCTACTTAGGAAATCTTCAGTCTGCAATGTCAACTGGAGTGGAAGCCATAATGAACACACTACTGCAGACAAAGGAGGCAAGAACAGGATCCGGATCACTTCTAGAACTCTATTATTTCCTCTCCAACCAATAAAGAAAAGTCTGTGTTAGCAGTCTTTAGCTGACAATGGAAATGCACAGGTACTGTGACGCAATTAATTTCCATCAGCTTATCCAAAGAGAAAGAAAGAAGATGAAATACATTGAGTGGGGGATGAGGAAACCTCTCAAATGGTGACATCCGTAGGTGACTCTTCCCACCTGGAGACTAAAGAAACCACCAAAAGTACAGTCAGTGGCCTGGCGTGGTGGGGCACACCCGTGATCCCAGTACTCGGGAGGCTGAGGCAGGATTGTTGAGTTCCAGGCCAGCCTAGGCTACACACTGAGCTCAAGGCCAGCCTGAGCTGCACAGTAAGAACCTGCCTCAAAAAGAGGAAGGGGGCCAGGGAGATGGCTCAGTGGAATAAGTGCTTCCCTGGCAAGCACAAGGGTCTGAGTTCAATCCCTGGTTCCACCAAAAAAAACAAAAGGGGGGGGGTGGAGGCTGGGGATTGCAGGGGCTGGGGATTTGGCTCAACGGTAGGATGCTTGTCTAGCAAGCTGGAAGCCCTGGGTTTGGTCCTCAGCACCAAAACCAAAAAGTAAGCCTCCCCCAAAAGACAGAAAACAAAAGGACAGTCAAGGAACCAACCATAGGCTGCTGCTTAATGCTGAGTCCATTCTATTCTGAAACTCTTGCCACTTTGCCCTACAAAGTAAGTCTGAGTTGCAGAGCTTAAACAACCCACACGTGGTAATACCATGTAATTCGCAATTCAGCGAGCAGGAAGCAAGCAGCCTTCTCCTGAGGCCCGCTTCACCGCACAGGCATAGCACTCACTTATCTGTTTCACAAATATACCAGCACTTTCCCAGTCACTGCTACCCTGCTCTATCATGGGCAACCCCTTCCCCAACTCAAAAGTAGACCAGGTATCCTCCGGCACCTCAGATGCCCTCACTGACTTCCCCAATCAGAAGTTGTTACGAGGGGCTGGTGAGATGGCTCAGTGGTCTAAAGCACCTACTTAGAACAAACTAAGCCAAGCAAAGCACAGGGACCGCGGTTCAATCCCCAGCACCACATGCCAGCCAGCCCCGCCCTCTGGTGGGCTGAGCTGGCCACACACACACAAAATAAATAAATAAATAAATAAAATTTTTAAAAAAAGAAGTTGTTACAATTTTTTTTTTTTTTCGATACTGGGGATCGTATTCAGCATCTTACGCTTGGCAGGCAGGGGCTTATGCTGCTGAGCTATCTCCCCAGCCCTGCTGTTATGATTTGATGTGCCCTAGAATCTAAAATAGAAACCTAACCTTCAAATTTGTAAACTGGGGCCGGGGAGATGGCTCAGCGGAATAAGTGCTTCCCTAGCAAGCTCAAGGGCCTGAGTTCAATCCCTGGTTCTGCAAAAAAAAAAAAAAAAAAAAAGATTTGTAAACTGGTGGTGAAGTTGGGGCTTTGCAAAGCAAATGAGCTTAGACAGTCATCAAAGCAGAGCCCCTCAGTGGACTGGTGGCTCTATAGGACAGACCTGCCATGGGTAGTCCCGCACGCCTACAACCCCAGCACTCGCGAGGCTGAGGCAGGAGAATCCATGCTAGGTCAAGGCCAACCTAGGCCACGAAGTGAGTTCAAGGCCAGCCTGAACTACAAAGCAAGATTGTAAGAAAAATATAGCAAGTTCAAGACCAGGCCTCCCTGGGCAACTCAGTAAGACTGTCTCAAAAATAAAAAATATATATATAATTATAAAAAGAACTGCATGTATAGGTCAGTGGTCGAGCACCTGCCTAGCTTGTGCAAGGCCCCGAGTTTAATCCCCAATAAAAGAAAAGGAAGATGAGAGAGCTCTGCTAAGACACTTTCGTCGAGCCTCACCCCACTGTGCTCCCCGCCTTGCCGCAGCACGACACGGCGCTCTCCCCAGATGCTGCGTCCTGCTCTTGGGCTTCTGGGCCTCTAGAGCTCCAAGCTAAACAAACCCGTATTCCTTACAGATTATCTGAACTTGGGCATTGTCACTGCAATAGATAATGAAATAAGAAAGCCCTAAATAAAAAGAGGCTACCTGGCAACAAAGTTGACCTGGTAGAAGGCTTTTTGGGGGGAGGTAAGGGGCAGTGCGGAGGATTGAATGTAGGGCTTAAGACCTACTGGGCTGGCATTCTACCACTGAGCTACATCCACAGCCCTAAAAACTTTTTTTTTTTTTCTTCCAGTTCTGGGAATTGAACTCAGGACCTTGCACTTTCCAGGCAGGCGCTTATGCTGCTGAGTTACCTCCCTGGTCCTCTAAAAACATTTTCTTCAGGGCCAGGGAGATAGCTCAGTAGAATAAGTGCTTGCCTGGCAAGCGCAAGGGCCTGAGTTCAAGCTTCAATTCCGCCAAAAAATAAAAATAAAAACAAGTAAAGAAAAACTTTTTCTAAAAGACCCACCTCTCTAAATCAAGGTACAGGTTCATGCCTAACTAACTGCCTGGCATTCCCATGGACCCACTGTATTTCTTTCTTAGGCACCTATGGTCCTTATCATTGACATTTACTCACAACTTATCACATGCTGTCTTTCAGAAAATTGTTTAGTCTTCTTGAGGCAGGGTCTTGCTATGCAGATCAGGCTGGCCTTGAGCTCACTATGCAGCCCAGGCTGGTCTGGAACTTACACAATCCTCCTGCCTCAGCCTCCTAAGTGCTGGGATTACAGGTGTGCACCACCACACCTGGCCAGAAAACTTTAGAACAATTCTCCCTAATAATAATATACTAACAACAGCTGCCACATACCGAGCATTTACTATGCAGTAGACTATGGAAACACTGTCTCATTTCATCCTCATAACCCAAGAAGTAGATACAGTGATTTATTTTCTTTTCAACACCAGGGATGAACCAAGTGCTCCAACACTGAGCACCTTTACTTTGAGATAGGGTCTTGCTATGCTGCCTCCTGCCTCAGCCTCCCTCAGTGCTGGAATTACAGGCCTGTGCCACCACACCCAAATTCTGTTCCCATTTTTATAGAGAAAACACTCAGAGGAAAAAGTAACTCAGCCCAAGGACATGCAGCTGCTGATAAGCAACTAAATCCGACTCCAGGCAACTGAAGCCCTCTGAGGACTTAGCTTTTAATGATCAAAACTTGGACAACTCCTGGCCTATGTTTGGGAGATCTACCTTCCAAGGGTACCTGCTCCACACCATCGGATGCCCACCAGGCCAAATGCATACCTGAATCTCTTCGTTTTCATCTACGAGGAGGAAGCTCACAACTTTCTCAGTCATTTTCTTTTTCTTGGTCTCCTCATCCATCTCTTCCGCCTCCAGGGTCTCCTGGATCCTACTGACATTGTATACGGTAATGGGGTGCCTTCTCTTGGTGCCCCCGGAATGAGTTCTCTTCTGGCACTCCAGGCATAGGTTGTTTTTGCAGCTCTGGCACCTCACAAACGCCCTCTGCCTGACTCCTGGAGAATGCCCATTGGGGCTCTTGCAGATGTCACAGTAAGGGACATGGCCAGCTTTGAGCCTTATGCGCTCGTGGTTTCGCAGGCGGTCCTGTCGATGCAGCTCCTCCTCGCAGCGGAGGCACTGCAGGCTGCAGCACTCGTCACACTCAAACACGGCTTCGTCCGTCCCGCTGCAGGCGTAACTTTCCTGACACACCAGCCCCGGATTCAGGCCCTGCTCTGCTAGGGAGGTTTGGGCACTCATTACTCAAACTGGTGAGGAAACACCCACCATGTAAGAGTCCAGGAGCCTTCCCAAAGGATGAAGGGAACGGCTGAGTCCAGGGACCACGTGAAATGACCTCAGGGATTGGAACTCCCTTAAAAAAGAGAAACAGCCCTATTCTAATTCTTTACACACTCACAAATATTCAGATTTTTAATTTTCTGCCTCTCAAACTCTTGGATCAGCAGCAATGTTGACTTGGTTTGATAATTTCATCTTCAGTAAAGTGCAGGCAAAGCTGTAGTCAAAGTGAATTTGAAAGGGTGCTGGACGGCAATCTGAGATGGGTGCGACCTGTTAGAGATGGGCTCACTTGCCAGGGCTCAGCCACAGTGTTTTGGTAATGAAATAAGGTGGTCAGGAGCTTTTCAGAATAGTTTAACCTCAAGCCAGTATTTCAGAGGCCACCTAGAATAGAGGAAGGAAATGTATTTCACTCACCTAAAAAATGGAAGTACACTTAACACAGGAAAACCCTTCATTTTCCTGCAGTTTAAATGAGACTTAGGGCCTGGGGAGATAGCTCAGTTGAATAAGCGCATGCCTGGCAAGTGCAAGGGCCTGAGTTCAATCCCCGGCTCCATAAAAAAATCAATAAAAAAACTAGATTTAGCTGAGCACGGTGGCATGGCCCAGTAATCGCAGCACCTGAGAGGCTGAAGCAAGCCAGCATGGGCTGCAGAGACCCCCCCTCACCTCAAAAATCCCAAGGGGCAGGCATAAATAAATAAACTATATCTAATATACTTGGATTTAGAGAATGTCACTGTACTTTTGAGTGTAAATGTGTGTGTGGGTACTGATCATGTCATGGTTTCTTTGGGAGTGGAAAATAATTCAGCTAAGAAAACTATTCCCCAAGATACATTTTTAAAAATTTTATTATAGTTTTGTTAAAAAAATTTAAAGGAGTAAATAAAATTTAAATACTAAGTCAAAATTACTGAAAGAATTCTTGGTTGTTGCTTGCCTTGTTCTGTTTTGTTTTAGACTTTGAGACAGGGTCTCACTAAGTAGTTCAAGATGGCCTTGAACAACTCTATAGCCCAGGTTGTACTCACTCCTGCCTCAGCCTCCTCAGGGCTCAGATCACAAGCCAGTGCCAGCACCTCTGGCTCTCACAATCCAAACTATTTCTTATGGCTTCGGCCTCGCCTCTTCATAAACACCACCTTTAGGCCCAAGACTTACTGTTCTATTCCCAGACTTAAGTGCTGTTCACTCAGCTATTCAATTCAGAACCAGGGTCAGGGATACAGCTCAGTGGGCAGTGCCTGCCTGGTAAGCCCTTGTTCAATTCTCAGTACCAAAAATTTCAAAAAGTACAAAAATACATTCAAAGCTAAAATCAGTAAGCAAGCAACCCTTGAAATAGTCCCCTGCACCTCACCACTGGGAGAGGAAAAGAGGCCTGTAAAAATGTAAAGAAAATAATAAACCTTAAACCCATCCAAGACCCACACAGATCCAGTTATCCCAGTAACTGAACTCCACGCAGATGCTTAATGAGGACTCCACATTGGGAAACAGGACCCATTTTCAAGTTCAGAAACAACCAAACAATCACTGTACTTCCTTTTGTTGCTTCTGGAAGAGCAAAACAAATAGTGAGCAACAGGAGACAGCATTCCTGCACTAGGGTCCACCGCAAAAGCAGGCCTGCAGCGAGTGGAGCAAATAATTCTAATCCTTGTCACTCTAAAATAAAAGATAAAAATAACTTCCAAAACAAAGAGAAAACAGGCAGCTGGGGGAGGAGAGGGGCTCTGCTCATCTCTACAATGACATTCCCGAGTCCCCTCGGCCTGGGCCCGATCCAAGCCGGCAAAGTGGCCAGTCCTTCCGCTGATACTCCTCCCCTACAGTAAGCAATCCACCAACCTTATTTTCAGATAAACAAGACGAGGGAGGGACCAGGGGGCCTTATGGACACCCTAACCGGAGACGCGCCCAACCAGCACCCAAAACGGAAACAAAAATCAAAACTTGTCACGGTCGTGAAAAACAGAAAATCAACCTTCCACAGAGCACCCCTCTCCCCCCGGGCCACGCGAACCATCGGCCCCGGGCCGCCGCGGCGCCCCGCTCCGAAGCGCGGCTCCTCACCCTGCCTTCCGCTCACACAACACGACCACGACCCGAGGGGTGGGAGCCGCGCGGAGAACAAAGACGGTCCCCCAAATGCCCCCGCGCCGGCCCAGCCCCGGGCCAAGCCCATTGTTTATCCCACCCCACCCCCACCGCGCCGCGCCGGCCCCCTTCGCCCGGGTACGGCCGGAGCCCCGGACTGCCGCTCGCCCGCGGCAGGGCCCAGCCCTCCCCACCCTCGCCCGCGGCCCCCGGTTCCCACCACAGAGTGGCGCGGCCGCCGCCAGGCGACATTGGGGGTTCGCGAGACACCAGTGGGGGCCAGTGCTGAGCCTCAGGAAACCGGGGAATCCATCCTCATCTCCACATCTCCACCCCCTCCTCCTCTGTAGCTCCGCAGGCTTCCTCCTTCCCTGTTGTCAGTTGGGATCAGCTGATCGGAGTGAACTTCTCCCAGCTCGGACTAACAGGAAGGCGTGAGCCGCGCAGCCCAGGGAGGGAGGAGCGGCTGGAGGCGGAGCTCGACGCCGGCGGGGGCAGCAGGCCCGCGAGACCTCCTGGGAATTGTAGTTCACGTGGCTCAGCCTCTGGCCCACACCCCGGAAGTGCAGCTCCCGATGACTACAACTCCCAGAAGGACACACAGCTCCTGCGGGCAGGCTGTGGAGGCGGACCACCGAGCATTTTGGGACTTGGAGTCTTTGCGTTCACCGTGGTTTCCGCAGGTTTAAGAGCGTTACTTACAGTAGGGAGTGGCGCTAAATTAGACAACTGATGTAATAACGTTTAGGGTAAGTGGAAAATGGCGAGGCAAATAGTACGGTTTTAGGTAACTCAGTTCACTACATTCTTTAATAAATCGGTAAGCGTGAACCAGTAATTATTAAGAGATACACAATAAAGACTCTTGTAGGAGGGTTGTTTTCCCTTCTACAGTATTCTACAAACCCAACATAAATGTTTAATTCCTACCTATTCTTTTGCTACTTAACCCTAAAACCTGTAACTTTTAAATAATGTTTAAGTCGGGGTAACTTTCAGATTTTTTTTTTTTCTTTGCTGAACCGGGGATTGAACTCAAGCCCTTGCCAGGCAAGCGGTTATTCTACTAAGCTATCTCCTCGGCCCCTCAGATTATTTTAAAATAAAAAGAATAATAAAATAAAATAAACTTTCAAACAAAAAAAATGTTCAAGTTACAGTGCCTGCTAATGTTTAGCACCTGGCTTTCTTTTTTTTTTTTAGAGCCGGGGATTGAACTCAGACCCTTGTGCTTGCCAGGCAAGCGCTTATTCTACTGATCCATCTCCCTGGCCCTTATCTGGCTTTTTACCTTTCCTTTTTTTAAATTGTTCTGTTTTGTACATAATGATCATATCCAATATAGAGAATTTATCTGTAGGGTGTTTGTTTTGTTCCTTTGTGTGAGACAGGGTGTCACTCTGCAGCGCAGGCTGGCTTTGAGCTCACTGTGGGGCCTGGGCTGGTCTTCAGCCCCACAGCTTCTGCCTCGGCCTCCTGAGTGCTGGGATATAGGCACGCCCCGCCGTCACAGAGAATTCATACTTGTACTTGACATATCTTGCTTTGTTCCCCATTCATCTCCCCTCCCTTCAATCCTCCTCCCCCTGCTTATTTACAAAAGACTTCAACTAATTGTTTTTTGTCACACTCGTCCTATGAAATTTGTACCTGTCTATATCTGCGTTTTCTCCCCATTCCCTTCCCCTCCCTTCAACCCCTCTTCCCCTCCCTATTTACCAAAGCTTTGTTCCCACTTTTTTCTTTTATTCTTTCCTTGTACCTTCCATTCTTCCCCTTGCCGCCTCCATGTTCCCCTTCTCACTTGGACATTTTCTTCCCTTTCCTCAATATCTATTATGTATATTTTACCAGTTGTTTTTTTTTTAAATGGCCTTACATTGTTTAATACTTTCACTCTTTTTCTTTTTTTGGAAATGTAAAGAAAAGAGCACGGATGCCGGAAGCCGGGCGCTTGTTCTGCAGAAGTCCCTCGCGATAGACAGCTAGGGTGCGCCATTTAATTACTGCATAGCATGAAGGAATGGCACGCTGGCTTTCTCAAGCCTCGGCCACTTTTAATACCGAATCATTCTATCTTGATAATCGTTAACTCGGGAGAAAAAAAACTGAGATAAAGTGATTTGCCAAAGTCCACAGCAAATTATCAGCAGAGCTGAGATAAAATCTCATCTCCTAACTTGAAGTAGGAAAGATTTTACCTTACAGTTCAAGGTATTAGTTAGATCATTAACAACAAGCAAATCTACACCATAGCAAAGAAGCCATCTGTAAAGGTTATACTGCTAGTTGTTTGTTGCCAGCACCTTGTGCTTGCCAGGCTGACGCTTGTGCCACTGAGCTACATCTCCAGCCCCCATATTGCTAAACACTGTCCCTTCAAAATTCAGCAGAAAGAGCCAGGGAGGGGCTGAGGGGATAGCTCAGCGATCTAAGTGCCTGCCTGGCAAGCGCAAGGAATGGGTTCAACCCCCAGTATCACATGCCATCTGGACCCTGCAACACCAGCGTTCAAGCTGTATAGCAAGACCCTGTACTAAATAAACAAATAAATAAATAAAAAGATTTAGAAAGAAAGAAAGAAAGAAAGAAAGAAAGAAAGAAAGAAAGAAAGAAAGAACAAGATCAGTGGCATAAGCACCTTCCTGGCAAGCACAAGGTCCTGAGTTTTATCCCCAGTACCAAATCAACAACATCATCATCATCAACATCATCATCAAAAGTTGAGCAGAGAGGGGCTGGAGAGATGGTTGGGGCTGGAGAGATGGTTGGGGCTGGAGAGATGGCTCAGTGGTCTAAAGCACCTACTTGGAACAAGCTTGGCAAAGCACAGGGACCGCGGTTTGATCCCCCAGCACCACATGCCAGCCAGCCGCGCCCCCTGGTGGGCTGAGCTGCCCTGCCACACACACAATAAATAAATGTTAAAATTAAAAGAAAATTAAAAAAAAAAAGTTGAGCAGAGAAGCTGAGGTAGGAGGAGCACCATGAGTTCAAGGCCAACCTGGGCTACACAGTAAGTTCAAAGACAGCCTGAAGTACACAGTGAGACCCTCTCAAAAAATAAACAAACAAACAAAAATAAAAACACATACACAAAACAGAGCAGAGAGCCAACAGTGGAAAACATGCTGAGAATTTTTTCCTATGCCAGATCACAGTATATTTTTTTTTTATTTTTTTAACATTTATTTTTTGTGTGTGTGTGTGTGTGTGTGTGTTTGTGTGTGGCCAGCTCAGGGGGCTGGCTGGCATGTGGTACTGGGGGATCGAACCGCAGTCCCTGTGCTTTTCCAAGCTTGTTCCAAGTAGGTGCTTTAGACCACTGAGCCATCTCTCCAGCCCCCAGAAATCACAGTATATTAAGAACTAATCTGGGGCTGGTAAGATGGCTCAGTGGTCTAAAGCACCTATTTAGAACAAACTAAAAGCATCAGGGACCACGGTTCAATCTCCCAGCACCACATGCCAGCCAGCCCCGCCCCCTGGTGGACTGAGCTGGCCCACACACACGCGCGCGCACACACACACACACACACATAAATTAATTAATTAATTAAGAATATTTAAAAAAAATTGTCCTAGATTTTATTCTGTGGACTACCACTATAATCTATCCTTCTTTAATATGATCTATTTATCTTTCTTCCTTTCTTTTTAATGTTTTATTTATTTATTTATTTGGTACAGGGTCTGGTTACACAGCGCAGACTATAGCAATCCTCCTGTTTCAGTTTCCCCAGCGCTGGGACTACAGGGGCGTGCCACTGTTGTAGGCAGCTGAATTAGATAGAAATATTATAGACAGTCTGATAAGGCCAGGCCCTCAAGGAGACAAGATGGAAGACAAGGTGACCTTGCAACTTGGAAGAGACAGACATTCACATATGGGCCACACCTCAAGACAAAAGAGGAAACAAACACAGCTACATACTTCCCTAGGGATGGGCATCAGGGATTGATATTCTAAATAGGTATCAATCACCTTGGAAGAGCCCAAATGAGTCACTAACCCAACCCCCAACTGGAAGAGACCCTGTGCCATATTCATGCCTGCTTTGCTACTTGACTCGCTTCCCCATTTGGTACTGGATTTAACCGATTTTACCTGAACAATGGTGCTTGTGATCTCATTGGTTGACCATAGTTTTGTCCCACCTCATGCCCACCTAAGAGAGCGCCCATGTTCTCCGCCATCTTAGACCCACCTCCCCACATGGTTTTCCTCTATAAAGGTCCCTGGAAGAGACAGCTTCCAGGGACAGCCGGCTCATGCCTCCCCCTACAGACAGGAGTTCTTTCCCCCAATAAATATATTCTGCGCATAACCTCCACTTGTTCTTGAAATTCATTGTTTGGTTTTAGAGAACATGAACTCATCCCAGGTACCTTTTAGGTTGGGAGATCAGTTTTTCTCCATGTGTCATTTGGTAGTTTCCCTGTATCACCACCAAGACCGGTTTTGGTTGCCAGCCAAGTGCGAGGCGCGCATGGCCTGCAGTACCAGCGTCTGAACCTGGGCCCTTGTGCTTGCCAGGCAGACACTTAGACCACTGAGCTACCGCCTCAGCACTCTTTTCTTCCCCTTTTTTCTTCCCTCCTTCCTTTTTTCCCATTCTTTCTTTATTTATTGTGTTTTAGTACAGTATCTACAGGGTCTCTCTACTGAAATCAGACTCCTAGTGATCCTCCTGTTTTCAGCCTCTCAAGCCCTGGGGTTATGGGGCTGCACCACCACACCCAGTCTCAACCGCCCTCTCAGCCCACCCCAGGGGAGGGCCAGCACAACACGCGGGGGATCAAAATGGTCGCTGGCTCTGCCTAAGCAAGTTCTTTAGTCTGCTGAGTTATCAAGCCAGCCCTCTTCCTTTTGTTATGGTTTGGTGTTTCCTTCCAGAGTACTGGGGTTTGGCCATAAGTTCCATAGGCAAATGCTTGAAAACTGATCTACAAGGGGCTAGGGAGATGGCTCAGTGGAATAAGCGCTTCCCTGGCAAGTGCAATTGTCTGAGTTCAATCCCCGGTTCCGCCCAAAAATAAATAAATAAATAAATAAAACTGATCTACAAGTCCGGGCTGGGTGTGGCAATCCCACCGCAATCCAGCCCTCCAGGGACTGAACCAAGACATTCAACCTGAGTTCAAGGCCAGCAGTGAGTTCAAGCCCCAATTCAGCCGGAATCACGTGGCCAGACCTCATCTCGACAAAACCAAAAATAAAAATAAAATGCTCCCCAGTCGGCCTCCCACCCCACCGCCCTGAGCTGTTTCTCCTCAGGCAGGCCTCCTCACCCTGGAGCCAGCCCTCTATGGTCTGAGAGCTCTACAAACTATGATCCAGAATAAAACTTTGCTGCATAGGTTTGCAGGTGGCAGGGGTTGGGGCTCAACAAAGAGAACGTAACCAAGACCGATTTGGGTACCAAAGGAGCAACATCGGTCGGGTGACTGCCTGGCCAAGTGGTGAAG